CTGATTTATGATGGTCTTAAGGAGAACCTATCATACGTGTTTCTTGGCAAGATTTGTTCAGAGGAGGTTTGTCATTGTCTTCCCCTGAGGCTGAGAGAGTGAGACTTGCCCAAAACAACCAAGGGGTTTCTTGACCAAGTAAAAATTCAAACCCTGGTCTCCAAAATCACAATCCAACACTGAAGCCACTACACCACACTGGCTCTTCTTGATTAACAATAGGGGGATTTTAAAAAATGTCACTGGGGCCAGAACCCACTCTCAGTGGCCCTAGTCAATTTGTGGAGAGAAACGAGGGGCTCCGTTTATAGAAGGAAAAGGGGGAGAGCATTCTGGAATGTTAAGGGAGGAAAACAATAAAGCAGTGAGAAGAGAGTTAGGGAGAAAGAAGAGGAAACAGATGTGAAATGGAGCACTGCCTGAGGATTACTAAGGAAGCAAAACAAAAAACAAAGCCAGGATGCTACTGAGAGAAGTGGGAAAAAGAAAGAACAAGAAGACATGCATTCACTTCTAACTCCCCATCCGCACTAAGAGGGCCATTCATTCATTCCTTCTTGTGTCCCCTCATGTAGAGCAACTGACTTTGCTAAGGGTGGTCCTTTGTCCTCTGGGAATGAGTCACTTCTTGGCCTCATTCCCTCTCCAGGTACTCTCCATTCCCTGCTCCATTTCGTCCCTTTTCTATTTTGCTGTCACTACATAGGAGTTTATCACACAGGGTTTATCCCATGCAGAAACAGGATTGAAATGGGAAAATCCTACAAAAGTGGGATCATTTTCACACGACGTCAGGGGCACTGAGCATTAACACAAAAATAACCTGCACAGAAAGTGGACAAAATCGGCCTCTTTTTACTTTCGGCCAATTTTGTCCACTTTATTTTCACATTAATGCTCAATGCCCCCGATGAGTCTGAAAACGATCCCACTTTTGCTGGATTTTTCCAGGATTTAAATCCAATTTCTTAGGACATTATCACACAGGGGCAAATCTGCTGGTTAATCCACACAAATCCCAAACAGAAACTGGATTTGTGCCTCACGTTTTCACACGACATTGCACAGAAACTGGACAGAAAGTGGACAGAAACTTGTGTTAACCGAGATCTTTTGAAATTTGGTTGTTTGGAGGAAATGCAAATGCGAAATTAAGGTAATTTCGCATTTACCGTAATGTGAAAAGCAAATGCACATTTGAGAGCATTTCCCTGCTTTTCCCATGGTTTCATCGAGCATTCCTCTATCTGCGCATGTGCAAGAATCTCATTTCTAGTACATTTACGGGCTTTTCTCGCTTGTGTGTGAATGTTAAATGCGCTTACTGTAATTTTGCAATTAAGATAATTACGTATGAAAGCCATTTGCGGAATCAAGAGTTATTTTCCGTTTATTTTCAGAATGCCTCATTTCCACTTTATTATCGCTTTCTGGCCCACAAGTGATAACGTCCTTAGCCTCCTGTATGATAAACTCCATAAACCTTTTGATTCTCCCCTCTTGCAGTTCTGTGAAAAGCAACTCTGAAGTGTGGAGGCAGTTCACAATTCCAGATCTTTCCTAAAAGTCACATGCATGCTCATCTGAAAAAGAAAAATATAGAACAAGTCAGAGAGCTGCACCCAGTTCATATTTCAACTTGTCACAGTCTGCAGATGCACAGTGGGGGTGTCGCATTTGTAAGATGAGGCAATTTCTAGTGTGAAACCAGAAGCAGCTACTCTTGGGGTGTTTCTAAAATACTCTTCAGTTTATGACAGCTTGTACTGTCATGCAGATAAGCATGACATTAAGATGCAGCCTTTCTTCCACACAACTGTGTTCCTGTGTCTCAAAGCTGTTATTGCTGTCCTTCTCTGGAAGGAAGAGACTCTGAGCTGGACTTGGAAAGAGCTGGCAAGATAAGGACTGGGGGTATATATGTAGGCAACTAGTGTATGTATATTCCCAAATAAGGTAAAGTACATGGATGAGGGTGCAGTAGACATGTTTTCCAAACTCTCAGTCAGGGAAGTTGGACTGGCTGTGGCAGAAACAGAATTAAAGAACTCACAATTTCCTGTTCCTTTTTCTCCTATCCACTCCTTTTAAGGACCTTGTGGCCCCCAGGTGTTCTTAGACTGCTACTCCCATCAGCATACCCAAGGATATGGAATGGTGAGAACTGCAGTTGAAAATGTCTGGAAGGCAACACACCACCTACCCTTTCCTTAGTCCTCCTTTCCATCTCAGATCCTCAGAGAAGTACTTGCAAGGAAAGGTTGTTGTTGTTGTTGTTGTTGTTGTGTGTTCAAGACATTTCCAACTTATGGCAATCCAGGGTTCGATTCCCAGCTTGGCCATGAAACCCATTGAGTGACCTTGGGCAAGTCATATGCTCTCAACTTCAGGGGATGGCAATGGCAAACCTCCTCTGAACAAATCTCATCAACAAAACCCTGTGATAGGGTTGCGACAAGCTAGAAATGACTTGAAGGCACACAATCCACACACACACACACACAAGGCAAACTAATCATGGTGTTTTCAAAGGAGCTTTTCCATTGCTTTCCCCTGAGACAGAGAGCATGTGGCTTGCCCAAGGTATAAGAATGCAATTTTGAAATATTTCATGATGAATCAGAGGGGCTCAGCCTTATATGATAACAGGAAGTCTTGGGATAGCTGACCACGTAGTCTTCTGATCCAGTTCCATCCAATTTTTTGTGCATGGTTCTCTACTTTTCCTTTCCCACTTCATACCATAACTTGGAAAGTAGCTTGTTACAAGTAATTAATTCTTATTCCCTTTTACAGTATTTGGAAATTATCTCGTTGTTGGGCACTTTCACACTCCGTGAATAAATCACTATGAAGCACTTTATTTGCCATGTTTTCATCCCATGGAATCCTGAACCTGGCAATTGAGAGATGAGTCTTTCCTCTGATAGTTCCTTTAGTGCCTCTGACCAAACTACAAAACCCAGGGACCATAGTAGTTAAAGTTGAATGATAGCACTATACATACAGTTGGCCCTCCACATTTGCAGCTTCAACTTTTGTGGATTTGATTATTTGCGCTTTTGATTAATACAGTTTCTCTAGGAATCTCTAGCACAACTCTGCAAGAAGTTGACCACAGAGTTGTGCTGAAGAATCTAGAACTTCCTAGGGAAAATACTTTTCTAGGCATTTGTAGATCCTCCAGCATGATTATATGATTAACTTCTGGCAGATGTTGACCACAGGGTTGCACTGGAGGACTTGGAGATTTCTAGAGAGATGTTGTCTCAGATTTAAAAAATAGTGTGTGTTTTTTTTAATTGTGTTTTTCCTTCACACTTAATCCCAGCAAATGTGGAGGGGCCACTGTAATTCTGTAGCATGAAAGTGCTGTGGGGATTTTGCTGGCAAGCCACGGGGTCCTCATATTTCTCTCTG